GGAGCATCCAGAAGGTATTCCGTGTCGGGACCAGCTAAACGATTTTCTAGAATCCCGCACATTTCCAAGAAAATATTTAACTGATGGAAACAAATTTGAATTGTACAGATTAGCGCGCGCGCGTATTTTTTTTCAATATTTATCGTCTATTATCCTTGATAATGTCAAAGAAAAAAAATATTTGTAAGAAATATCAATAATATCAATAATCAATTTATAATGATTGTAAAAAGAAGGAAAAAATATACACAAATTCCCTGCTCTTCTTTTTTTTTTTTTTTTTAACATATTTATATGGCTAAGAGATATGAAGAACATTTTAGTTTTTTTTTTTTAGTTTAGTTCAAGAGGTTTAGTTCACGATTAGATCACTCTACCGATTAGATCACGATACGCTGCAAGCAGAGACTCTCGTTCTCCACGTAAGGCTCTCTTAAGCCCTTCCCTCTTCATCAGTTCACTGTATCTCTCGAATTCGGCTACCAAAGCGCTTGGAGTATCAGCATCGGCAATGTGATCCTTCAGTTTCTGAGCAACGCGTTCTTCAGCTGGTATCAAGCCGTCCTCGATTTTACGCCTCAATCTATTCCATTCATTGTCCCAGTTATCACTGCCCAGAGCAACTACAAATTGTTAACGTTTATTTATTTAAAGTATCGTTAATTTATACTATTTAATAATTTATTAAATTATAGTGTTCATTTCTAATTATTTCAATTTTTATTTATTAAACAATTCATGAGAAATTGCAAGTCCAAAAACTGCTTTATCTATTTTAATTACAATATTATCTTCAACTTTCTTTTGAAGACAAAAACCAATTGATTGACTTTGTGATTTCTTCACGTAAGAACCAATAATTCATCAAAAAATTATTATGCATAAAATATTTCTAAAACAAAGTTCCTTCCAATGTACCTCTCGTATCATCAAATGTTTGGAGCAATTTCTCGATACCGAGTCCCGATCTCTCACTCGGAGTCAGAAGTTTACTCAATTGGCGATGCTGCGCACGTAACTCGGACATCTGCCTAGAAGATTGCGACTACGTTATTATTACATTCCATACCGTTTCGTATGCATTAACGCCTACCTGAGGTTTCTGCCGAGCTTCGAGCATTTCTCTGGTACGAAGATCGGTCCGCGCCAAGGATGGAGCGAATGATGCGGCCAGAAAAGTTTTGTTAGTTTCTGCGTTGCATTCACCCACTTTTCGCATACTGTCGCTCCGAATGCGATTGTTTCGTCCTTTGCGCGAATATCAGTCATGTCGACCTAACGAATTACATTCCGAAAAACGTCACTTAATAGCGTTACTAAATCAAATGATAGGTAACAAAAAAAATGATTTTACTGAAGCATCTAAAAATTTAGGCAGATATAGATCTAAAAATAATTTTATTGGACCATCAAAATAATTATGTAAGAAATTTAAGCATGACAATTAATGCTACAAAAAGTTCTGAAATTCTAACAACCAGTTTGAGTGTCCTACATAATTATTTTGACAATCCAACAAAATTATTTTTAGATCTGTATCTAACTAAATTTTTAGATACTTCAGCAAAACTTTTTTCCGTGTAAACACCTCTTTTTCAAATCAAATCTTATTTATCAATAAAAATATCAATATTTTCATAAATAATGTTTTTATTTTTAAACAATTATAGACGTTTCAAAGACTTTTTGCCAATTTATGAGTGTGCCCTCGAAACGTCTTGACTCTGTAGTTGATTATGGATAATTATGGATAATTTAAGAAATTATAGTTAACGTACCGCGTCGAGATAATTTTGTATCTGCTGAACCACTTCGTTCCCGATTACATCGAGAAACGATTTCATTCGTTCCTCGGTATACGCTGGTCCCCCTAACTTCCATAAATCATCCACGAATACAGAAATAGCTTCACAAGCTTCTTCCACAGCGATCAATCCATCTCTGTAAAAGAAACATAAAATAATAATTGCATAAAACATAATAAGCCGTTTACAATGGAGTATTATGTAGTAAATCTTATAAGAAATTGATCAATCATAGTCGATTATTTTCTTCATATTTGATTACGATTTGATTTTTTATTTATGATTTAAGTTCGTTTTTATCAACGTAGTTTAATTTCTTCGTACAATTAACTCTTAATTTTTTTCTAATTTTTTTCTAATTTTAGGACCGGTATTCAAAATCCATTCTTATTTTAAAATCATTTTAAATAATGTCTTAATACGATTCTATGATTAGTTTATGATATCATAATATTATACTTAAAACGATCTTAAATATAAGAATCAATTATGAATATCGACCTAAGAATTAGAAAAAGATAAAAAGTAAGTTGAACCGAGGTATTAAAATCTAAATTTTAAATTAGTAGAAACGAGCATTACTACATTATTTCCACTGTAGACAGCCCTTTAAAATAGTCAAAGTAACAATGTGCACCTTGACACCGCGGCGCTTTCGAGTTCGATCTTGATGTTCTTCACGGACTTGGCAGCTTCCTCGCAATTCGTTCTCTCGTGCGACCGTTTAGCTTCATCCCTTTTCCGCTTCCAAAATTCCTCTTCCTCCACAACGGTAGTCGAAAATCCGGAGCTGAGTAGTCCCTCCTCCAATTTCTTCAAACAAGATGTACTTAAACCAGACGAGCGAAGGGCAGGCGCCCATACCTGACGGAGACCCTCAATCAGTACCGATCCATCCCCGCAGCCGGTGGAAGCTACCTGGACCACGTCATGAAAGTTCTCTTCTGTTACTGTCGCCGCTGTCACCTACATGAATTTTCGCACCATCAGCATATGTAAATAGCGTGCTAAATCGCGACTTTCTAGAAAATGCTTTCTATCATCAAGAAAGTCACACTTGGCATGACGGTGATTAGTCAACGGTAACTAACTGTAAGAGAAATGTACGGAAGAACGGATTAAGCAGATTTCACGAAAGACAAGAAAGCAAATCAATAAATATATCCCATCGATAAAAACCTTTTTCTTATTCGTTAATCTTCTGCATTTATTCATCAATTTTCATAATTAAAATATATTTTTCTTTTCAAAGAAGAGTCTCTACCTTAAAGAAGACCAACGTGTTTCTTATACCGGCGGGCAATTCGATGCTCAATTTCAAACGGACTTGATTCCGGTCGGTGTCGACCGGCCTGGCGCATAGAGTTCTGCACGAGGACTGTTCCAGGAAGCGATCGAGGATCTCGCGATCCTCGATGTCCTCGTCGTCGTGTTGCACGGACGCGCTGAAGAAGTTCCCCGCCGTGGAGACTATCAGATGCCTACGTTTGTCGGCGACCACCATTTCGTCGTTTGGTTTTAAACGCGTTTTAAATGGAGTATTAAATCACACGAGCTCCATCGTGCTCTTAAAGAGAGGTTGGTCGATCCAGGACTATGCATCATGCTGACAGTCGAAACACGATC